GAAGCGACTGACTGATGGAACTTATGGATTGTTGTGGACTACATTTCCTGACGTATCTTTGCATTGTTCTGAACTTGTGAAATGTTCCTGCAAAAAAGTTTGCCGAAATTGTAAGTGTAGACGCGGCGAGTTACGATGTACAAAGCTTTGCGCATGTAATGGAGATTGCAGTGAAGAGCCAATCAGTCATGATTCGATTAACTTAGATACATATTCGGATGATGAAAATACAGAAGTTGATACTAATTTTCTGTTTAATGATGATTGTTTGATGATTAAAGAGTACTTACCTTAGATTCATATGAAATGTACATAATTTTTTTTGGTCTTACCTTATTATTTACCGACTATTACATTTTTCTTACTATAGTTCTCATAACTTTTTCCAATTTTTTATGTTTATAAAGAAGTTAAATGTTGTGTAAAATTATTGTTCAATTAAAATTTTTAATAAAATCTAATTAATTTTTTAAATAGTGAAAAAAAATTTTTTTTTGAACAAAATGTTTGTGTCCCGTTATTTTTCAGTAGCAAATCATGTTATCTATCAATATCCAAAACGGCTTGCTGGGGTCCGGAAGTGAAATAATTTTTCACTAACCGACCTCACTACCCTCATTGTGATGACATTTAATATGTAATGCTAATCTATTGGTAAAATAATCTATTGGTATCCTTATTTTGATATAATTTGCGTGTCGCTAAGTTTTCATCGCTACATCATTTGATTCCATATCATTTTTTTAATATGTATAGTCTGGTGACATGTAATGTGCATTAACAATTAATGCGTCCTTATTATAAATTGTAGTTGTTAAATTAACATTGTTGTGTTATTTAATTCCATACCATCTCTTGCTGTAATCATTGTCTTTGTAATTTCATGCACACACACTAAATCAGGTAGCATTATTACGAGTATCTTTTTACTTTTTTTTTGCTTCCTTTAAATGTAAATAAATAAATAAAAAAATGCTTTCATTGATTTTCTGTTTTAAATTTATGACTGAATTTAATTTATCCCATATTTCCAGGAACTACTTAAAATAGAAAATGTATGCCTGGTTGACATATCTCCTGAGGCCAGTGATGGCACCAAATATTTTGGAGTCTTTTATATATTGCAACAAGTTGGTTTTATTTCTTATTTGTATTATGTTTCAATATGAAGTCAGGTTACCTTTTCTTGCATCGTTCTTTTTAAAGGAATATCATTTAGTTGAGAGAGAAGTAGGCATACATTGAAGCTGCTGGCCAAATAGGTAAAGTAGACACATTAAATCTGCTATTGCTCTCATCCAACAGTTTAATTGAGCCTATATATGAATTTATATCTAAGCAGAAAATAAAAACAAAATTTGCCTCATTTTTATTCACGGTTTTTAGTGTGTTTTTAAAAATGGTCTATCATTGTTAAAAAGGTTAAATAAGTGAAGGTTGGTATCTGCAGCTTCTATGGGTGAAAATCTATGGGAGGTTGTTGATGAATTTGAATCCTACAATTTATCCAAAACCAGTTGTTTTTTCCACCGGAAAGTAGTGATACAGCATTAGTACTCATATTGAAGAAGTTCTTTCAAACCTAGCTTGCTCTTTTATGGAGGGATCTGTGAAACCGAGATAGAATAATTTTCGTTTACTGGCACAATGTGGGCCGCTTATTTATGTAATAAAAAGGTGGTGGCCTCTCTTCATTAGTTCCCTAAACATTTCTATTATGATGGATTATGATAGTTAACATACTTTTTGATGATGTTTCTAAAAGTTAGGTCATGAAGGCTCCAGCACTATTAAAAATGAGATCTCCTAATGGCCTCTACATGTTTGGCTTTATTTGATGCATAAGTATCTCTTACACTGTATTATTATTGATATCTCAGAGTGATACCTTCATAATCATTATGCAAATGGTTAATCTAAGCTATAGAAACTCGTTATTGAACTATTGAGTTATCTTTAAAATTTTGAAATTATTTTTACAAAGTTTGATAAAATCGTACCACCATCAGCTGAGAGTGTTTGTGTTTCAATTTAAACCTCAAAATAACATTTATCACGTTACCTCTGCTTAGTTTTTAAATATAATGTTATTTGCTCCCAGGCAATACTGCTTTTTAGGCTGCTGTGAAACAAATGATTTTTATAAATGTTGCCAGTCGTATTTTTGGGTCTGCTATGCTCTTTTTTGCGGTGATTGGAGTTAACGTTCAAGTTTAGATTAGGGTTTGTGTAAGAATTTACATTTAAATAAATGAATACATACATAATATAATTATATAAATATAAATATTGTTATATCCGCCGGAATGGTGGAATTACCGTATATAATTAATTATTGTTATCTTGTTATATTTGTTATCGTCGCTATTTGTCATTGATTGTAAACCATAAAATCTTCTCATGCCATAAAAGGATTGTATGAATCTCCTGTAGAGGCTATATAAAGGATTGCCAATAGTGAAGTCAGTAGTGAGGTTCGAAGACAAGTTGTAATTGGGACTTAAGTAGTTACTTGAATAAGTTTAGTGTTTCTATTACTACTGTTGGCATTCGAATAAACGTTCAACAAAGCGTTAGAAGCAGTTGTGTTCAACTATCGGAAATCTTGAACCTACGGAATAACGAACACTTGACGATCGTTGGACACTGGTGTTGGAAATCATTGAAATAGAGATTAAATAGAGGAAATAAAGATCATTGAAGTTATAACATTGGTGTCAATAGTAACGAGCGTTAAAGTTACAACAAGATATATAATGGCTTTACAGGTATAAATTATTTATAGTTATATAAATAGCTAAATAATTTTTTTTGACCAGGACGAAGGAAAGTTTGTTGAATGGATCCCACTCCAGAATGGTACATAAAATAAATTGGTGCAAATTTGCTTGTGTTCATTCAGTCCTCTTAAATTGTTGTTCATTTTCAGATATCAAACTCAAGTCAGAACTTGTGAACTGTAGCACTAACAACAAACTTATTTTTAAGTTTGATGTCGAGGATTTGAAATGCGTGAAGAAACTTTCCTACCCTCCAACTCCACCTCAATTGGTGTTCATACTGAAGTCCGGCACGACATGCCCTGCACTGCACTTCCACGATGGCGGCACCTCACTGATCATCTCGAAGCTTGAAAATTATCTTCCTCTTGAAAGGTGAGAAATATTATTTGTCTTGTCTTTTTCTCTCGAAAGGGCTGTCTTGGTGCCATTTAATGAACATTTTTCTCTTCATCTAATTATTTTGATCATTTTTACCTCATATATCATTGCTTATTTGGTTATGTAGCGTAAAATCTTTTGATACTAAATCATTGATTATCTTTCGCTAATTTAAGTCATTTTTCACCGATTCCTGGTCTACTTATCAACGTTTGCATCTTCACAACATTTAATTTTCAGGCTTCTTTTTTTCTATTTTTGTTTTCGATATCTAATCAGATAATGAAACAACGAGCAATGTTTATATACTGGTTAATCAATTTTTTTATGCACATATTTTTAAGTGGAAAATTCATAAACAACTGAAATTTTTCAGCAATAAATATCTCTGTAAGAATATCTCTGTATGAATATCTCTGTATGTATATCTTTGTATGAATGTCTCTGTATGAATATATCTCTGTAAATATCTCTTCATGTATGATGCTTGTGTTTCATTTGGCATTTGTTGGTATGTTGGCATTTAGTGCTCTACAGGGGTGGCTGTGATTTTTACTTGCAGAATTCATTTTATTTTTATTTGCATAAAAATCATTTTAATTTACTTTTATTTGGTGTTTTGTAAAACAATTTATTTTTGCTCTTATGTACTTTTGGTGGAATTCTTTCTAATTTTACTTCCATTTTACGCATACTTTTACTTTTCAACTCGACATCAGAACATATGCTGGTCATCAGGACAGTTAGTTCTACACATTTAAAATGAGTGTTGCAGATTAATCTCAATCTGTTATGTCAAGAGTATGTTGAAGAGTAATTTATTTTAAAACTGACAAATAAATTGAATAAAAAAAGTAGAGCATTTGTTATTTAAATAAATTTTTGTACTTCTAGTATTTTTGCATGCCATTAAAAAACCAACGTTCATCTCGTTTTTCGTGAAGCCTCCATCGAATATAAAATGTTGAAAAATGGAACTTTTTCATTTCATCCCAAGCATCATGCATGCCAATGAAAACATATTTTCGGCATTTAGTACAGAAAAACTGAGCAAAGAGGCAAAGTTAAAGCACGTGGTTCGCGGTTCTATAAACCAGACATCACTAGCGAGATACAACAAAACGGTAGCGCGGATAGTGGAAATCGTTTTTGAAAATATTTTGTGGAGCCATATATTTATAAAAGTGAAACTTAATTGTTTGCATGGAAAAAATCATTTACTTTAGTTTTATTTGCGGTAAAGTCATTTTGTTTTAATTTTGGTTTTTTTCAAATTCAGTTCACTTATATTTTTACCTTTATTCAAAAAACCAATTATTTTGCTTCTACTTAATCACCTAACACTGGGTAAGGAGAGTTTGAGATATGTTGCATATCAAATTTTTGCATAAAAAATTAAAGCATTTTTTAAGAAAAAAAAATGAGACGAAAAATTTTGGTTGAAATTGAAGCTTTTTGTGGAGTAACAAATATGTATATCTAAAATTTAATAGGGAAAATAGTGTTTTTTTAATTGATAAAAACGCTCTGATTGCATAATTTGTGTTGCGTTATACTTGAATGGTCTCTCAACAAATAATACATTTTTTTCAAAAACAATATTTTTTTTAATAGATCAAGTCAGGATTCCTTTTTGTACATTGTGAAGTGTGATCAAACTAAAGAAACAAAAGCCGGAAAATCTTTTTCTGAATTTAATTTATTTGAAATGGAGCATGGTGGGGACGTTATTTCAGTAAGTATCCATTATCCATTGAACACATGTATCCATTAAACATGTATCCATCTTACACATGTATCCATACATCGACTGCCAATACATACAAACTTACTCATGCAAGCATGCATCATTACATGCGTCCGAACGTACATTTCAAATAATATACAAACACGCGCACACGCACACACATATGTGTGTGTACAGTAATATATATATATATATATATATATACATGCATACATATATATATATATGTATATATACATACATACATATATATATATATATGTATATATATATATATATATATATATATATATATATTACTGTATGAATTTTACCGAGTTGTTGACATTAACTAATTTTAAGTTTGTCTTTTCAACTTTTCTCGCTAGAATTTTCTGGAAATTGATAAATTTATTAAAAATAGAATTATTATCCTAATTCACCATGCAGATAGGCCTATTTCGATTTTTCACAAACCATCTTCAGTGCGGCTTTCATTTACATAACTTCTTAGACATGGGAAAGGTAGTTGATTAATTGGTGTTATTTTCTTCATCTTCTTTTTTGGCATCGCCTCAGACCCTGGCTCTTTCATTCATACACTTACGCATATATAATTGTAATAGACTATTTTATGAGTCCCTGCTCGAATAATAGCGGTACCTCAGCGACTACAGTTCGAAAAGTCGATTCTACTGCAGACAAAACTGTTCAAGTGTTTTTGTTGATACCGTAGTGAGAACACGTTTTATGGTTCTATCTGATTCCATAAAGTTGATAGAAACCTTTCCTGCAGATGTTTTTGACGTGATTTTCCATTGACAAGTCCATCCAGTGCAATATCTAGCGTGACCGGTCAAAATGTCCCTGGTCAAAATGTCCCGGTCAAATGTCCCCGGTCAAAATGGAAAATCAAATCAAGTATCAAGTTCACATATAAAAACAGTTTGTTGTTTTAAAAATGTTTTAAAAATCCAAAAGTTCACATATAAAAACAGTTTGTTGTTTTAAAAATGTTTAAAAAATCCAAAAGTTCACATATAAGTTCACATATAAAAACAGTTTGTTGTTTTCAAACAGTCACAAAGCCTTCGTAGTTCAAATCAAGTATTCAAATGTTAGATAACATTGATGTTCAGCACTCTAGAAATATCAGTCAGATATTGCAGTCTTTCTCTGTTTGCATAATCCGAGACCATTGTTAGCAGAGCCGAATCAATGTTTTTGTAAGTTTTCTTTTGTTTCCGTTGTTCATGGCCAAGTTCTCCTTGTCTCCGAAGCAGATACATGCTGTGTTGCTCGAGTTGTAGCTTTCTTGATAACATTTTAGCAGTCGGGTGGGCGATACCAACAGAGTTGTTGAACGCATTGTGCCACCCTTCCACTAAGTTATTGCTTCTTGGTTGTTTTAGGAGAACCTGACAGTGCTGGTTCCACATTGTTATTGGAAATCTTGGTGCTGCTCTTCGGTTTCTCCGGAGACGTCCGATAAAGTTGTCTTCGAAATAATCTACAATCGAATTTGGTAGATTGTAATCCGGACTATCGATCAGCGTTTCAAAGGTCTCTATGACGTCTTCAACGGGAACAAATGCCAGGGCGATGAGCTGTTTGACTTTTAGAGCAAACGCGGCATCTGTCTTGTATTGCTCACTGAATCCACTTCCTTGCACATGCTTCCAAATACACTGCCCGAAGTGAAACAGACACCCAACAATTACAACAGTGGGAAATTTCGCCTGGAAGGCATGGATGGCAGCCAGCTCGAAATCAGTGACTAAAGTCTGAGGACTGCCGAGTTCACGAAGCGACGATACAAAATCAAGGAATCGACGGTAGACATCCTCACTTCGTCCTGGTAACAGTGCGTAAACGCAGGGATATGCACAATTTTTGTCCCATCCGTGTACCGTATACAGTTGATGAAACCCTTCAGGCGTCACGCGAAATGTTCCATCAGCAAACCAGCAAGCAGACTTCTGGAGAAATTGAAGATCCTCGTCAGCTGCAAAAATTAGCATATCATCTCCTTCGTCTGTCCGCAGGAACCGATGTCCTTCATGCGTAAGTCGACAAATTTCATTGGTGGCAGCATTCTGTGAAGCTGCACGACGTCTTCTGACGTTTCGCGCCATACATTCACGATCTGGAAGTAGGTGAACAGCCTCAGATGTAACTTCCAAAAGAGCTCTTTGTACAATACGTCTCGTAGGATCTTCAGATTCTTCAGCTGTTCTTCTCATTTTTGCCAATGCCCCTCCGACTTCTGCTCTTCCATGTACAAGTGTGTAATTATGACTGCCTATTTCCTCTACTTTCGCATTGTCCTTGGTGTGGATTCTCACTTGACACGAACGCTCTTCGCACCTCCAAATTTCTTTACCTTCTGCGCCATTCCGGTGCTTCGTAAAGAGGAAACCTTCTATCACCAATTTTCGCGTTCCCTTCTGCGAGACTATGAATTCAAGCATTGCTTACGGTTTTCAATGAGTAATAAAAGATTTTAAGAACTTACACACTAAATACAAGACGCAGTTCAATTGGTAAGATATTGAGAAAAGAGAGGGTTTTCGTTCGATGCGTGATTCGATGCAAATTTATCATCGTCGTTGCCATCATCGTCGTTGGTAAGATATGGAAAAAAGAAAGGGTATTAGTTTAATGCAAATTATCATCGTCTATACATCCGATTGATTCTAATTAATATGTAATATCAAAAAATGGTTTGATTTATTAGGTAACAGGAATTACATCAATCAAGGTTTATCAAAGGTACGGGCAGAGCCGTACGCAAACAGCTAATAACTTATATTATTATATTATTATTATAGCTGTATTTTTCAACAAGACTTTTGGGCCATTTCTACCGGGGGACATTTTGACCGGGGACATTTTGGCCGGGATATTTGGACCGGGACATTTTGACCGGGGACATTTTGACCTAAAACCATATCTAGATCATTCACTGTTGACGTGAATTCGGTCAGCAAACTCAATCTTTGTCGAGTACCAAGCCAGATGTGTTGTGGTTTTTCAACATTAAGTCCCAGTTTGTTAGCTGACATCCATTGGCCAAAAAGTCTATTGTCTTTGATGTGTTTTGTTTAGATCGTTTCTGGGGTTAGAAACCATATAGTTGGATATCCTCTTCATAAAAAACCATATAAATGGATATCATCTTCTTACAAAACCGTATAGTTGGATATCCTCTTCATATAGTCTTCATATGCTGCTTGTGTGTTGTTGATACCTCTGAATTTTAGATGAGTTTAACCTCTAATTTTTTAACCTTTAATGATTTGCATATAAAAGTTCGGTACAGTAAGGTTACTAATTAGTTTGCATATTTAAGTTTTATGCATATACAAATATGTATTTTTACTGACTTTGTTTAATTTTTTTTTTGTTTAATGAGTTAATTTTCTAAACAATACTAAACAATATCTATTTTTATAATAAGTTGGCGAATTAACTTAAAATTTCAGAATTTTCTGCAAGATCCATACTCTTCCACCCTCGGTGGATTTTCGAAGATCACAAAGTTTCTTCATGATAACTTCTCACATCTAGACTCGCTCACCAACTCAGCCGTGCAATATCATTCAAAGAAGAACAGTCCAGAAGCCGCTTGCACCATAATTGACAGCCTCAATGAACTGACTGTTAACACAGATGACTCTGGATTCACCTTTATAACACCCGTAAAATTTTTTAAATGCTTTAATTTGCCTGTATTAATTAGAATAACTAAATTTAAAAACATTCAAATTTCGTTGAAACAGGCCAGGCGTGAACCAGAATTTTCAAAGCGACCAATTATTAGAAGGGAGAGTGCTTTAACGGCTAAAAAATGGTCATCATACATGGATAAAGAAGGCAGATTGACCAATGTCTCTTCCGTGAAAATGGCTATATTCAAAGGGGTTAGGCTTACATAGCTAAATTAATTTTTTTGTATTTTAATTGTACACCCACACACGTACTTTAATCGTACACACACACACACACACACACACACACACACACACACACACACACACACACACACACACATACATATATATATATATATATATATTCATTTCATTTTTTCATTTCATTTTTCATTTTCAAAGTTTTATTCATAATAAACAACATATCAAATAAGTGAATAAAAGTTATGAAGTTGAATATGCGGAGACCGAATAAGACTGTTTGTCTTGTGGTGGCCACCGCAGGTAGATACATGAATAGTTAATGAAATAAAATAAGAAAAATAACTGAAGCAAAAAGATAATTGAAGATAAATAAGTAAATGTTCGTGTCATACATATACAGACATATAACTATGTAAATGTTCGCTCAGTACATATATAATCACATAAATGTTTAACCATTCATAAGGACCATTCATCCGCATCATTTGTTTTAACGTATTCATAATATAGTATTAGGTGGTGGAGTCGAGATCCAGCGTCAATAAAAAAGCACGGAATTTTGACTTGAAATGTTGTAGGTTTATGATGGCTTTTAGATGGGGAGGTACAAGTTCTGTCCAAATTTTAGGATCTGTTATTTTTATGCTTGTCTGGATTAATTTGAGGCGAGTTTTGTAGATATAGAAGAGAGGGGTGTGTCTAGTGGTTGTAGATTGGACGGAGTTACTTAATGTGTAGAAGTTGATAAAGTGAGATGGGAGAAGATTGTTGATAAATTTAAAAACGAATAAAGCAGAGTAGTAAAGACAGATGAAGTTATGTGGTAAAATTTTTTTTGCTAGGAAGAAGGGTTTAGTATGAGAATTGGGTTTGAGGTTAAAAATTAAACGTATATATATATATATATATATATATATACGCATACGTGCGGCAGATGGCACCTCCTTGCCTCTATCGTTAAAAAAGCTATAAATACCTGATAAACTACATATAACAATATTACATACTCTATTACATGATGAATGGTAAAGGTTATGTTATTTTGTATACAAGGGATATTTTAAAGCGATATTTGTTTGTGTAACCGCTGATTAACAGTTTTACCAATGTGTACCTCATTTTAATTTAGTAACGTTTTCTTTTTCAGGGAATAGATCAGTCAATTAGACAGGAAGTATGGAAGTATTTGCTGGGCTACTATGGTTGGAACTCAACTTACAAATCTCGTGTGGAGGACAGGAAGAAAAAAATGTTAATTCTGATTGTTGTATCATGTGATTATGTATCATGTGATTATGTATCACGTGATTATGTGTCATGTTATTATGTGTCATGTTATTATCTATCGTGGTTAATAATTTTTTATATCGAAGAAAAAGCGGTGGTGGTGAAACTTGGGTGTTGAGGAGAGAAGAGGAAAGTGTACTGCAGAGGGCTGAAAGAGCTATGGTGAGGATGATGTGTGGGGTTAAAGTGAAGGATAGGAGGAGTAGTACAGAGCTGATGTCAATGATGGGACTGAATGAGAACATTGTGACATTGATAAGGAGATCGAGATTGCGGTGGTATGGACATGTGTTGAGAAGGGATGAAAGGGTCGGGATTAGGCGAGCGTTTGAGTTCGAGGTTGAAGGAGTGATAGGAAGGGGTCGTCCGCGATTGGGATGGAGAGAGCAGGTGGAGAAGGCTAGAGTGAAAGTGATACTGAGGCGGGTGACAGATGTGAATGGCGTCGAGGGGTATTTCGGTTTCATCATAGGTAGCCAAACGGCAACCCCCGATCTCGGGAAAATGTCGTCTAAACGTGTGTTGTTTGTTGTATCGAAGAAAAAGCCAGAAACCGTACTCAGAGCAAAAGACTTTAAATTGAAAAACGACCATAATTATTCAACTGGAAATTTTTAAAGACTTTCTATAGTAATATTACTACCACCAATAATAATAATAATAATTTGTAATTAACCTGTCAAGTCGTTACAAAACTGATCAATGTTTACTTTGTTGAGAAAAATTGTTGAGAAAATGTTATGATGTTGCTTGTTACTGATTTTGGTTCTTTTGTCACCGGCGTCTTACGTGGCCAACATCTTATCCAACAACACCTCACGACACCAGCTTCTTAACGTCACTAGCACCGCACCGTTTGACAGTTGATACGAATGAGAATATTCTTTTATTCTTATTCTATTTTTTCTAATTTAAAAATGAAATAAATTGCAGTGACGATTATTTCCGCATGAAGTTGCAGTGGAAGTCATTCAGTGATGAACAACTTTCAAACTTTTCCGCTCTGAGAGATCGGAAAAGTTTAGCAGGTTTGACACTTTATTCAAATTTTAATTAATTTTGCGTAATCATGATATCTTGAAGTATATTTAGTATTTATACTTTGATTTTGTTGTGTGATTTTATTCGCGTTATTAGCATTTCTTTTAGGAGTTAAAGATGATTGCGTATCGCTACGCATATTTTTCTTTTCATAAACACGATGTTAAAAAATATTTTCAGAATAACAAATAGTTTTTTTAAAGTTCATAACATTTTCCGGAGTCGGATGAAAAATATCCGACCCCTTAAAAATTCTAACTCCGATTTATCAGAAATTTTTTTAGTTCAGGTTTATAGGTATATTTGTTTTAATTAATTTGAACACGAGCAATTGGATTTTTATCAACGCTCATTTTGTTACGTTACGCTATGTTAAATTACGTTACGTTATGTTATGTTAAGTTACGTTACGTTATGTTATATTTACTGTTGCTAGATATCATATATCATGAGATAACGAAAATTTCAAAGAGATTCAAATGGATGAAAACAAATAAAAAAACTTTCAAAGATTTTCATTATTGAACTTAAAAAAATTAAATAATATATAAATTTGATCAATCAAATAGCATTTACTTGAAAAATGTTAAAAAATGTAGAGTTGTTAAAATAACAATTTGGAATTTTAAAAAAATTTGCACCAAGATGACACACCAAGGAGATTTACATGTATTTTAATGTCAGAACTATTGACTGCAGCAAAGTTTTATAGCTGTGTGTATATTATTTAAATTAGAAAGTATGGAAGCAAGTTTGCATTGGCAAAGGATAAGATTTTATCCGATGAAAATGGTCATTTTCATTGTTTTTATTCTTTGCCATTTCTTTATATGTTAACAATTGAAGCATTAATTTTCAAAGCATACCATTGTAATGTCTGTTTTAAAATAATTGTCAGAGAAAGATGTTTTAAGAACAGACAGGAAGCATACATTTTTTGAAGGGTCTCACAATCAGAATATTAAAATTCTTCTTGACATCCTCCTGACGCATTGCATGCATGACTTTGATTTAGGTGAGTAACGTTTCCATTGTTAATTGGAGTTTTTTCTCTATTTATCTTTTATTTAAATTTTTTATGAAGTTTAAAACATGGTTTAAATTCTTACGTTATAAAACATTTTTTCAAATACAAGCGTGAGTTTATTTTAGTTAATTAAAGTGCTGATAATTTCTAGTTTATATGAAATTATATTAAAGCAGCAGTTGTATAGCTTTCCATATGTTTATGTCATCTTGATCAGCGTTTATGGATTACGTCCCTGTCCAGATATCGATGCTAATCAATATTTTAATTCCACTTGACGAAAACTTCGGCCCCAGGTTTGCACGGTTATATACAGATTGAATTAATACAGATCAGATCAATACAAATAGGATCAATACAGATTGGATCAATACAGATTGGAACAATACAGGTCAAATCAAAACAGATAGGATCAATACAGAGCAGATCAATACAGATCAGATCAATACAGATTAGATCAATACAGATCAGATCAATATAGATCAGATCAATATAGATCAGATCAATAAAGATCAGATCAATACAAAAAGAATCAATACAGAACAGATCAATACAAATAGAATCAATACAGAGCAGATCAATAGAGAGCAGATCAATACAGATCAGATCAATATAGATCAGATCAATACAGATCAGATCAATACAAATAGAATCAATACAGAGCAGATCAATACAAATAGGATCAATACAGATCAGATCAATACAGATCAGATCAATACAGATCAGATCAATACAGATCAGATCAATACAAATAGGATAAATATAGAGCAGATCAATAAAGATTGGATCAATATCTCAACATCAGACGTAGTTTCTGTTGTCTCCTACTCATTTCAGAAGCAAAACCGGTAACTTCATGAGGGCTCATTGTATTAAATGTACCTGCCGCTTTGAATTGGATCTAACAAATTTTAGAGCCTAACATAAACTGAACAAGAAGAGGAATTAATTTTCAAAGAACATTTGTGGAAGGGGCATAAGCATGCGATAATAGTTATGCAAGACACACACGAATCCTACAGGAACAGTGAAAACTAAACTGAGATGCATATCCTGAGATGACATTATGCTAAGCACTGGATTTAATTATTTTTTCAATTTTATTTGCATGTGTGTAACCTATGAGACTTGTGTTCACTTTCTAGGGTAGATTAATTGGCATATGCGATTAGATGCATAAGATTGAAATAGTTAAAACTTTTAAAAAAATATGGGGTAATTAAGTGACGAAATGCGTAATCTCTGATTTCGCGAAATGTAAAACTAACCTAAGATGAAGTGTTGTCGATGCACGAGAGAGTGCAAGATCTGAAAGCAGACCTGGTGTAGGTTAGATGCGAATGGAGAAGTACAATTTTGCATGATGCTAATTCAGGGTTGTCGTGGTCAGAATCCCATTGGGAGCTCTCTTCGTCATCTACCTATTCTAGGACATCCGCTTTTAAACGCTGCTCGTGATGACGATGATGGTGGTAATGATGACGATGGTGGTAGTGGTAATAGTGATGAGGGCAATGATAATAATGATGGCGATAAAATTTATAAGCTGGTAAAGACCAAAGATAACTTTATAGGCTACCAAAATGAGCATGTAAATATAATTATACACTAAGTTGAATTTTTGAATTCAAATCCTCTTGGGTCAACAATATTTTACACAAATTTTTTTAGTAATTATTCATCATAAACTAATTAAATCATAACAATTTTTTTAAACTAAAGTATTTTGTCTACAACGTAATATCACCTTAGTTATTTTGTTTTTGGATGTTTATTGCCAAATGCAAATATGTATTGCATATTCATTTGTAATTTTCATGATGAAAAGTAAAATTTTAATGCTTTTCAAATTGCTATCTAGCCTTGAGTTTTTTTTTATAAATACAGACATATAAAATTATATAAATTCGCATAAATTCTATAAATTTATACAAATTCATATAAAATTACGTGGTTGTAGATATTATGTAACGTTAACAGGCTATGTTCAAGGAATGAGTGATTTGTTAGCTCCCATCCTCGTTGTCATGGAGCATGAAGTCGATGCATTTTGGTGTTTTGCCGGATTCATAAAGATGCTGGTCTGTTTTTTTGCAGCTGACTATATTTATCATTATCCAAATCAAATCAATTTCTTTACACATTGATAAAACCACAGAAGCACTGATGCAGGCACACACACGCACACAGACACACAGACCTAACCACATGTTTTTTACTTATTTTTAAACGCTTTTCAAGTGTTCGTCTCACCGAAATCAGTTCAGTTTTTGCAAGTTATAAATAATCTTTGCTTTCTAAATGTCAATCATTGATTTTTAACACATCATATTCCATCAGATTGTTATAATTAAGATTATTCAACTTATAATTTTTTTATATTATAAATAAAATAAATTATGTATTTTATATTCTAAATAATTGAAGGGACGTAATTTTGAGAAGGATCAGCAGGCCATGAAGAACCAACTTCTACAGTTGCAGATTCTTTTGACCTACATTGACCCTCAACTGGCAAGTTATCTTGGTCAGTTTTTAATCTATCATTTTCAACATCCAATTAGAAGATGTTTGTTGTAACTGTTTAAAAACATTTTGTTTTACAACAATTTCCCGCCTGAAATTTTTGAAAAATTGTAGGATGGGAAATAAGTATTGATGGAAGAAGGAAGTGAAGAAGACAGTTTAAGATAAAAAAAAGATATTTACATCATCATCGTTCTAACGTCCGTGCTTCCGCGCTTGCACGGGTTGAACGGTTTCCAAGGATGCCACTCCTCCATACTTAGCGGTCTTGTGCATCTTTCCTTCTCAACTTCATCTTTCTCATGTCATCTGCCACACACTCCTTCCAGGTTTTTCCTCCTCTTCCTCTACCCTTCTCCCCGTCAACTATCACATGACACCCAGTCATCCTCCTCTCTCCGTTCCACATGTCCAAATCATCTCAATTTACCCCTTCTCACCTTATCACACACATTTACTATATTTAACCTTTGTCGGAGCTCTTCACTCGTTTTCCTCTTCCTCAGTGTTACACCACAACGTAACAACGTAACAACAAACGTTGTTCAAAAATAGTTGGTACTTTATCTAAAGTGTCCAATTTTGTTTGTCCTGCTTGCATCAATCCACAACATCAATTTCGAAATAGCAATGTTTATGAAACCATTAATGTAGAAAAAGTCACATCGTTTCAATATCTAAAGGATGTTCTAGATTGTACTGGAACAGCTGAAGCTGCCGTTCGAGCACGCATACGTGCAGCCTGGAATAAATGGCATCTCCTTGCTGCCTCTATATTGATGCGGCGTGACATCCCACTACCACTACGATCAAGACTATAAATTTGTGATACGTCCGGTCTTGTTATATGGTGCAGAAACATGGCCAATGACAACTAAACTGAAACAACAACTTCAACGAACCGATATGAAAATGCTCCGATGGATGCAACAAATTAGTCTGAAGGACCACATCAAATCTACCGAAATCCTGTGTCGTGCTGGCTTAGATGATATAAAGGACGAATGCCGGCAACACTGTCTGCGGTGGTTTGGTCATGTCAAACGAAGTGGAAACAGTGCCATAACTTTTCTTGCAGATGTTGAAGTACCTGGCACACGTCCCAAAGGCCGTCCAAAGAAGTCCTGGTCGCAAACAATCGAGCCAAGCACACCGCACTCTAGCTCTCGATACCTCTTCAGCTCCACCTCCAGATCCTATCATATCTCCCAGATAACAAAACTTCTCCACACATTCCACCTTCCCTTCACAATTTATTTCTATCTCTTTTCTTATTTCCTTTTGTTTCTCTCCATTTGCACACTGTACACGGCCACTCTCCAGAATTCCCTACTTGTCCAGTTCGTACTTTACAACACATAACTTTTGCTTTATTCATGTTAACCCTTAGCCCTTTTGTTTTCATTGCATCTTTCCAACACTTAATCTTCTCTACCAACTATTGATTAGAATCTGCAATCAGACACAAATCATCTGCATAGAACAGATTCCATCGCAAGCCAAAGCGGAAATCCTTCGAAAGAGTATTTAAAACAATAATGAACAGCAGAGGGCTGAGCACCGTACCCTGATGTAAACAAACTTTCACTTCAAAACTCACTCTCCCTATCCATCATCTTGAGTGCTGTTGTCACGTCTTACTAACAACTGCCACAAGCCATTCCTCAACTCCCAGACTTCTCAAAGCTCACCACACTACTTCCCTAGAAACTCTGTCAAACGCTTTTTCAAGATCTACAACAGCCATGCACAAGTCTCTCTTCTTTTCAAAATGCCTTTCTTGTATCTGCCGAACTATGAAAATTGGGTCTGTAGTACCTTTCCCTGGTCTGAAACCAAACTGCATGTCATTTATAAACACTTTATTCCTTACTTTTTTTCTCAATCACTCTTTCTAGGATTTTTTACATGATCAAGTAGCTTAATGCCTCGATAAGATCAACATCCTAGAGCATTCCCTTTCCCTCTATAGACAGTCAACATCCAGCTTTTCTTCCAGTCATTAGGAACTTTGCCTTCTCGCACTATTGCGTTACAAAGATCTGTTGCCCACTGGACAATTTTGGACACCTACATTTCCTGAAGCTTTTAGCATCTCCACTACCAAACCTGAAGTACCAGCAGCCTTTTCTGACTTGGCCTTGGAAATAGCAAACTTCGCATCACTGTAGGTTATAATCTCTGCAGGACCACTCACCATATTCACCATAGGCAAACCATCCTTATTCCATTTAAACTCTTCTGTTAACAGCTTTTCAAAATAATCTTTCCACCTCTTTTTCACATTATCTTTAGCCGTGAGTAGTTTACCATCCGACCCTTTGACACAGTCTACCCCGACATCTCTATATTTTTTAATGATTTGTTTTATTACTCTGTTCACTATTACTTTTTCCTTTGACTGAGCCATGTAAACTGTTCTTTTTGCCTCTTGCTTAGGTGAGCAATACAAGATCCTATCCTCCTTCTTGGTCTTCTTTTATATCTTATACAACTTTCTTTATGCCTCTATAATCTTCCCAACTTCCTCGTTCCACCACCACAATTCCCTGTGTCTCAGCTGGCTCTTAGTTCTACCGCAAACCTCATCAGCCACTACAAGCAAGCTATTCTTAAATTCCACATGCTTTCCATCTCTCTATCTCTTCTCAAATCTGCTTTTTCTTGGATCTTTTCCTGAAAGACACGACGTGGCTTCTCCTCCTTCTTCAATTTCCAAACTCTCACAAACGGCTAACTTGTGTTGTGCAATGCAAGCTTAACTTGGTATCGCTTCTACATTATTGACCAGGGTTCTCTCTTCTTTTCTCATCAACACATAGTCCACTTGGGTCTTATTGCCACCCGACTCATATGTCACCTGCGAATCAGGTTTAGTGAACCATGTATTGCATCTAGCCAACCCCATGGCATCTGCAAACTCTAGTAACATTTTCCCCTCAAAATTTCTAGCACCGTACCTTTTCCCACTATGCATTCCTTCAAGTCCATCCACTCTAGCACCAACATGTCCGTTCAGATCACCACATACTATCAAAATCTCATTTTCACCAACATCTTTTAACACCTTACCCAAAAGAATATAAAACTCTTCTTTCTCTTCTGCTGGCCTTCCTGCCAGAGGTGCATACATTGAAACAATATTCAGCAAGGATTTCCCAATAGCTATTCTCAACACCATCACACGCTCATTTACACGCCTTAATATTTTAAGTATCTTTAAAAAATTTAAGTAACGAATATACAATGACAAGTTTCTTCTTAACTTTGATTCATTCAAGCGTGATGATACATTTATTAATTTTCCCACAACAGTTCTCGAGAATTTTTATGAATAGTTCGAAAATTATTAATTGTTCAAAAACATTTACTTTCAAAATGACTCATAACTACATTATCAGAGAACCATGAATCACTTAACATGTACTTCTGCTTCCGCTGGTTACTCATTGTTTTCAAAAGAGAATTTAACTTTCCGGACATCATGAAACTCTGGGAGGTGTAGATTTGCTTTCATATCATTTTTTTTTATTAATTTGCTGATATCCAAGTTTAATTTTTTCCTTTCTATTACTTCGCTGTCAATAATTTTTTGATTCATTGGAAACTTTGACAACTTTTTGAATGGCCGAGAAGAGATATATGTAATGATCAGTAATCGATCAATCAATCGATCTATCGATTGACTGGTTGTTTGATTGATTGATTGATCTGATCATAAGCGATTACTTGCAAATAAAACTAGATGTTTCGTCCGTTACCAACTGCGAAAGTTTACCAATTATTCAGCAAAGGTAACTTTATCTGATTAGTTTTGTTTAGACGTTATTTTTAGAGTTGAAAGAAAACAAAATACCATGAAAGTCAACTCGCGTACAAAATATTTTAAGGCATTGAATTCTGACGTTACACACAGACGCTGGGGCAACTTGGGCTTATCAGGAAAGATTGAAAACATTTTTTGATCTTAGCGGAAGCTAAAAAGAAATTCGATAAATATAATTATATTTTTAGGTTATTTAAGTTGATATTTTTGGACATTGATTAATATATGGGGATCAAAAACCTTTATCACGGTTGTAAACGCTGTTTCGATAACAAGTTCTGGATTGGAGAAAGTTGAAGGAATTGTTAGGTTTATAATAATGCAATGAAACATTGAAAATCATCGGTTTAGTAATTGGGTGGTACAAACAAAAAGTAAGACATCGGAGCGAAAAAGTTCATACAGATCAAACGGAATGAATGCTCTATTAAAAATAATATCTTGTAATTTCAATGAAGTATAAAATAGATTAAAAGATTTACTAAGTTGTCATCCTGCTTGTTTTGTCTTATTTAATTGAGATCGTTACTGTATTTTTTGTTATTAAAAGATCTAAATTAGACATTTATATCTACAATATTGTAACAAACCTAAATAGTGCAAAAAAGGCAACAATTTCGAGTAAATATTTGAAAAATTGAAAGTAATTTATCGTACATCACTGTGACATTAATAATAATATTAAGCCAACTTAGCATATTATAAATGTATTATTATATATGTGACATTAGATAGATATATAATTTTGTTTAAAAATCTACTTGGGTTGTAAAAACCAAGAGTGGCTCATGCAATTGTTCTCGATCGGCCCTGCTCTTGGCTGTTCTTTACAACTCTTCTGCCAGATAAATCAATGGATGCCATCTTCTCGACAACGACTCGCAAACTTGCGTCCCATGTGGTCAGACAAATCACATTAACCTTACCTCATTATTTATTTAGTGCTCCAGCTCGTTTTATGTTGATGACTTGAATCTAAATAATTGTACTGTTAACTTCATTTTATTATCACTATTTTTTATTAATTAATCTTATTGTTTTTTTCTGAAAATATCATTCAAAATTTATGCTTCACTATTTTTCTAAACCAGGTGTTTCCGTGCTTTTGCCTGAACGTTATATCCAGGTGTTCGTCCAGATGATTGTCTATGTGAGCATCCAGTTGAGCAACTGAATAAGAATTCAAATAAGAATCCAGGATACAAATGAGAACCCAGGATAGCAACTGAATTGGGATCTAAATAAGATTCCTGATGAGCATCCAGGTAAGCTACTGAATGAGAATCCAGGTAAGCAACTAAATTAGAATTCAGGTGACCATCTAGGTAAGCAAATGAATAGGGATCCAAATGAGATTCTAGGTGTGCATCCAGGTAATCAACCGAATGGGAATCCAGGTGAATATCCTGGTAAGCTATTGAAAAGAGAATCTAAGTGAACACTCAGGTAAACAACGGAATGAGGATCTAAATGAGATTCCACGTGCGCTCGGTGCATTCAGGTAATCAACTGTATGGAGATCTAAATGGGAATCCATGTGAGCAGCCAGGTCATTATCGTCGGGTGGGCTTGTTAGCTGCCACAATATTTCTTCACAACTCTTCATCATTTGCAGTTTTGATCAGCTTTTCATTTCTTTTTCCAGGTCAGATGCTTAATTTTGTCTTTGTATGTCAAACGTAGTTTTTCCCATCGGTTCGGTTTGATTTCTGGCCCATTATAGGACGTATATAGTAGTAATAGCTGGCTCATTTTATTCCATACGAAGGTAGTGGTCTATAAATCGTGATCGCCTTTTCTTGATGATTTTTCTGACTGGGATCTGGCCTGTTGTCGGTTGTCATGTTGGTCGTGCTAGCTTCGGTTTAGTTGATTCCCAACATGATCTTACAGCACTTTCTGGCAAATATTTCGAGCTTCTCCTCTAGGGCGAGTATAAAGGCCCCATGGTACGCAGCCTTAAAGTATAAACATGATATATATGTTGTATCTTGTGTTGAATTGTCGCAGATTCAGCTATAATTTTTTTGTGTTAAGATATTTATAAGCTTGTTGAATGCTACCCGGGCCAAATCGATTCGGTGTTGAACATCTCTACGGACTGATACTATGAAGGACTCAGATATATATATTCTTCAGAGCTGAAGGCTAATCACAATAGCTCTATTGTTATTAATTTTTCATTAATCACCTGTTGAATTTTAATCATTGATATGTAATTAAGTTAGGTTTGTACTGTTAAGATTCATAATTCATATATAAAAACAAAAATGCATCCGAACGTTTTTCGCTCTTTAACGTTTTAATTTCTTCTTGTGTGTTAGGTCTGACGGTTCTATTACTTTCAATTATTTAGAAACGTTATTTTGTGTTATAATAAAAAATTTATGTTTATAATTGACTACATATAATTCTGAAATACGATAATTGTTGTAATATAATAATTTAATTTTGTTGAAATTGACAAAAGTAATTATAAAATTTAAGGTTCTATGGACAGGACTACCTTGCAAAAATTTTCATCTTTTTGTATGTTTAGCGATTCTAGATTCTGCAAAGTCAACACTGATGGAAAATAATTTTGGATTTCCAGAAATACTAAAAGTAGGTTTAATTTTTATCATAATTTTCCTCAAGTATTTGTCACAAAATTGCACTTATTCTGTTAATACGCCATCAAAAGAGTTTGTGAAGGGTTTGTCGGTCAGAAGGGTTGCAGTTAAACTTCATGATAGTGAAAATTGAAAAATGTTTCAAAGTGAAATTATTGTCTTAATAATCAAATAATCAAAAATGTTCATCAAAATATTTACCAGTTACTTAGAAAAAAAGCAATTGAAAGTTACCGATAACTTTGTATTTTTCTTTACTAACAAACGAGGAGCCTTTTTGCTCTGTCTAATTCAAACTTGTGCAATGACCAGCCGGGTACCTTCTCATACATCTGTTCACATTTGAAAACACTGCATCATACACGGGATTAGTTCCTGTTTTCTTCAAAGAATTTCACTGCCAGTCAGTGGCGGATCTAGGGAACTCTGGCCCTCCCGTTGTGAGTAGTGTTTTTACTAAAAGTCAGTAAAACTCAGTTTTCAGATCGGAATAGACTGTTTTTAGGCACAAATTCGACCAAAAATTGGCGTAATAAGCAAATGAAAAAAGGTTGCCAGCCTCGTTTCTTCGGCCTCCCCTCAAAATTTTAAAATTTTGACCTCAACCCCTATCAACGTTGTCTAAATCCGTACTGCTGCCAGAAACCATACGATAATTTGAGCCACTTCACATCTATTAATTTCATATGATTTCTTCAATATTCTCCCAAATTAAGACATTGTTAATATTTTTCAAAACAGTTGATTTGTAAAAATTTTGCATTTTAATCGGTGTTTATGATAATTAAAATTGTTTGTTAATAGTACGTCAATGACTTGTCTGGCAATATCAAAGTTGATGAGGTACTGGAAACAGCAGAAGCCATGTACATGCAGTTGAAAAATAGTAAAAATTTGTCTGACGCTATTAAAAAAATAATTGGTCTTGATGCTTCAAACGAAAATGATAACAGTTTTTCCTCTCCTTTTCAACCTTTTCATCCGTTTGAAGTTTCTGAAAAAGTTATATCGTCACAAAACAAAGATGTTGTTAATGATAAAAAACAAACAAGTGATGAAATAAATAAGTGTCGAACTGCAGAAGAAATTTTGCCGTCAGCAAATGGAAACGTCGAAACGGCCTTTGATCACATGGAGGATATCAGAAAACCGAATGACGAAAAGTTAAACTCGAACAAACTTTCTGAATGTTCAGACGAAAACAGTATTGAAATTATTGACCATGTTAATTTTTGCACTTAATTATATTATTTATTTATTCTTATTATATAATGTTATTACATGTTGTTTATTAGTTTTTTTTTAATTCAAAATCAGATCTATGTTATGTTGCTATTGATTTATATAACTCATCAAAATATATTTTCAAATAAAAATATTCTTTCTAACATATTACTAAAATTTATTAACTGATTTTCAATGCATATCTATTATTTAATGATGAATGATTTTGTTGGATACTCCATAAATGTTTTGCCACCGTGTATTGAATGAGTCATTGTAGGAATTGCCAGCGATGCGGCTGATAAGCGTCTGCACCTTGAGTACTCCAGTTTTAATAATGGCACGAGATTTTTCATATCGCTATGCATTGGCTATTGAACGTGGTACCTCTTATTGTCCAGTTTCATTCGAGAAAAGTTCCATCGTATAATAGTATTGCTTCATAATTAAAATAATTACAGGACGGAAATGATGACTGAATCGAATAGTTTTTGTTACTGTAACAAAAGAAAAAGAGTTTGATATTTTAAAATTGTTTTAAACATTTGGTTTTCAGAATGTTTACAATTATAAAACGTCCGTGTACGTACGTCATCGCTCATAAAAATATAAAGATATCGGCCTTGCACCCATTATTTATAACCAAGATATCAACATAAAATTTAGCCACATCCAAACAAGGCATTTATGTTTTGGCTACACCGTCGTTTTTACGCATTAAGATAATGGTTTCTCTAAGATTACTTCACCAGATTTAACTTTTATGCATCCAGAAACGGTACGAGCCCTTCTCCAATGATTTCTTTTATGTTTTTATACATTGCATTTGTATTACTGTTTTTGATCTTTTCAATGGTTGCGAACTGGTCATTTAACCATTTCTCCTTTGCCTCTAAGCACATTTTTTCAATTGTTTTGGCCAACCTTTTAAAACTATCAAAATTGCAACTTTTTACTTTCCTTCGTTCATCCATCAAAGATACGATGTCATCTGTTATCCATTTGTGACCTCTGCTCTTTCACAGGTATAACTTCCCTTGCTGATTCCGTGAGGGCATCTCTAAATATCTCATTTAGATTTACTTACGTCTTCCGTCAATACCTGAAAATGATTCCGTAATTCAACGTTAATAAACTATAAAAATTGTAAAATTTAATTGGTTTGATGAATTGATCAAAACATTCTTCATGGAGACTAAAGGATGAGACTAAACTCTAAAGCGCACTAAAAATGGGCTTGGGTGCGTTCGAAAACCTATTTATGTACATAATATTGATTCTATACACATAACTAAAATAAATATAACGGCCTTCGCTCACTTTTAACGGTCGAACAAGGAGGGGATTTGTAGGGGTATTTTTTTATAGTTCGATTCAAAAGTTACGATCGTTAATTTACTAATTTCGGTATATTGTTTTTATTTAAAATGTTAAATTTGATATTTTTTAATTGTTATTCAATGTAGTAATTAATTACTTTTATTTGGTATAAATTTAAAAAAATAAAATCGACATTACCGAAAATAATTAAAAGTTGAAAAAATTGAGGTTCTTTGCATATCCATGCTTCAACCCATAAGAAAGTGTTGTATATTGGAAATAGGCCTCCCCTTGATTCTATATATATGTTTCTAAGCAACTTTTTAGGTTTTAATTGTACTTTCGGTACGTTCAATGTTAAATAGATTGTTACATTTCACGAGTCTGTTGTAACTAACGTTATTTTCTCTTGCTGACAGCTGGGCCTTTAAACTGAAAGTGGGTATTTAAATTTTTTTAATCCTTTCACTGATATTTAATGTTTAAATATTAATTATTAAATTAACTTATTGGTTAAAATTTTTTTGTAGATTGTAGCAGATGTAAATGTAAATAAAATCAATCAATGTTACAGTTAAAAATTAAAAAATTAAAGTTAAAATTTATTTTAATCTGTTAAAACTTTTAAAATTAAAACTTTGTTTCATGAAATAGAAATGAAATGAACAAGTTAATAATAATAATAATATATAACAAATATAATATTTATATTTTATTAACTTTTATAATAACATAATAATGTATGTATAATACTATAATCATGCTAGAAAATAGGCACTGTTAAGTTTCATGCCCAATGCAGTTAGTTATCCATGATGATGCTATACTATAGAATAGATAGAGTATAGAGATAAAGGTTAAAAGGTTAAAGTTACTCTCTCTCTTTTGCGTTAGCTTCAGAGGTTTCAACGACAAACACACACAGCGTATATGAATACGCGTGCAAACCACGCATCATACACATTGCATATGATAAGCGGGGATCTCTTTGTATTCGAACCCAGTCATTGCAATAGCAAGACCAGGCGCCTTTAAAACCATTGAGCCATCTTGCACTGGCTACCTATAAAATATAGAATAATTTTTAAAATTTGCACGTTTATGTATAAGTCTCAATCTAAATTATTTCCAAAGTATTTATCAGATATATTAATTGAACCTAAACACCCCGGTTTACGATCGTCTTCTTGCTCTCGCTTTTTCTTAACTCATGTTAAACACTCTTTTGCCAAATCTGCTTTTGCTTTTTCTGGTCCTTTTCTCTGGAACTCTCCACCTACTTCTCTGACTACTTCTCCATCACTTGCGAAGTTCAGAGCGGATCTCAAGACCCATCTGTTTTCAAAATTCATTGAGGAGTGCTGTTGAACATTGCGGAAATAGCGCTTTATAAGCTAATTGATTGAATTGGCTGATTTGGCTCACAGTTGGCTGACTTGCATGCAAAAGGTAGTGTATGTACATAATTTTTCATATTTTAATCAAAACAAATTGTTTTAATATAATAAATAATTGAATATTATATGTATTTGATCAAAAATTGTATTAAAATGATGCGGTCCATTGCGACAACTTCACAAAATATAATGGCTGACTTAAGATGTTTATTAATAATTAATATATTTTTTTTATTGTTATTCTTTAAAAATCAGGATCTGACAGATGCAGAAACTGTAACAACATGCAAGGCAGTAAAACAAAATTAAACAAATAAGTGAGAAAATAAATACAAAAATTGAGGAAGAGAAATGATAAAACATGAAAAATAAAATATGTTAGAATAAAATAAATAATAATAATAAGAGAAATAAAAGAAAAGTAATTGATGATGGAATATAAAATGAAGTAACGGCAAATTGATAGACTAGATGATGACTTAGTGAGGTGATCGATAAATAAAGCTAGGCCTGTGAGTGAAAAAGTTTTAATGAGTATTAATATGTTTGATGACTTATTAATAGACTAAATGATGACTTAGTGAGTTAGTAGTGATCAATAAAAGTGAGGTGATCAATAAGTAAAAACTAGTTCTGTAATGATAAAGTTTTCTTAAGTGCTAATATGTTTGAGGTGTCTTGTGATGAAGGTCTTTTCCTGGTATGTAGATTGGGCGACGACTTGATAGTTATGTTTGCGCTGATGAAGGTTGTGTGTTGTAGTATATGCAGTATTTGGCTGACTTTTACAGAAACACAATTTTTCTTAATTTAATCGAAACGAATTATTCTAATATAATTGATATATTATTAATAATGTGTATTTGAAAACCAATTATAATAAAATGATGCGGTACATTGAGACAATAAATATATTGGCTGACTTGAGATGTTTTTTAACGTATGCAGTATTTGGCTGTCTTTTCACAGAAATACAATTTTTCTTAATCTAACCAATATGTAATAATGTAAATGAAAATTGGCTTTTATATGTATTTAATCTAATGTTAGTTAAAAATTATTAATTTTATATATTCATAATGCGGAACATTGCAATAAAGCATCATTTGTCTTATTTGGGGCCCCACAAAAATTCCCTCTTTAATTTTGGCATCACTGATTTTTGGAAATTTGGTCTGTAAATACTGAAATGCTGGTTTGTGGTGATCTAACGCTTTAACTAACTGCTTCATGACTCCAAGCTTGATGTGAAGATTAGGATGATCTTCTCTTCCTCCACAAGAAGTTCATGAATGAGGTTATGCGAACCAACTTGGAATGTTTCCTATTGTGGCCAAGATTTCTTTGTACAATGTTCAGATTTCATCCTGCTATCCCATTTGCAAAGGAAACACATAAACTTGATAAAACCAGATTGTTATCTATTTAAAATAGCCACAACTTTTAAATCTGCACATATGAACCACCGGTCAAGAATAAGTGATATATTCACATAATTTTCTTTCAGGGTAACCGAATGTGCTATGGAATGGAAGGCAGCACATTTCCGGTATGAAGTAATACCGCTTTAATGCTGTTGAGTAATGCGTCAATAAACAAGTTTCACTGAAATGAATTATATTGTATTCCTAGATCAACAAACAATCTACTGATGTCATTACAGAAGCAAAGATCTTCATCCATAGAGAGATTATTGCTGCAGTTCTCTGCATCTCTTTCTAAATGACGAGACTCTAAATCACTAGCCAACAGATGCCACTGCTGATGACGGGAAGCAAGCACTTCACTCTGTTGCTTTGTTAAATACAAATCTCGAACAAGATCCTGGTCAGATCCTGTTATGAAGTGGGGTTCACGGTTTGCATCTTCTGACAACTCGTTACTTTCATCATCAGTATCCTCATCTAAATCAGAACTGTCTGTGTTTGGGATTTCCGATGGAGGTTCAGGAACAGGGAGTTCAGTTAAATGAGGATCAGGACGAATAGCTAAAGGTAGATTTGGACCCTTGGAATTGCGACCTGAGATGCTGACAGAACAGAAATAGCAATCTGTACAATGATTTTGTGGTTCACGCCACACCATTGGCACCCCGAATGCTGGTCCTCCACCAGTTCTGTTTGCCCATGATGATAGTGAACTTGCACACCTCGCACACCTTACATGAGGCGCCCAGTTCTTATCCTGGTCGCCGAGTTTGCAACCAAAGTATAACTGATACAATTTTTTCACATGTGGTGTCAATCTTCGTCTGCATCTCTTTAAGGTCAGTTCGCCACAAATGTGACAAAAATTGTCAGTCTAATTTTTGCAAAATCTGGGCTTTTTCTGTGTCATTACAATCGATAAATTACTTAGCTAACAACTCCAATTATAATAAAACAATTCCTTGCAACTACTAATTGCACGACAACTTTCAACTGTCTGCAAACCGTATATATATATATATATATATATATATATATATATATATATATATATATATATATATATATATATATATCAATCTATCTTCTTTTTGCGCCCAGAGACATATATATATATATATATATATATATATATATATATATACACATACATATATATATATATATATATAGAATTGAATTGAAACACTCTTTTATTCAGCAAAATATCACAGAAATAAATTACTAAGAGACCAGATGTTTTCACTTGGTAGGCCACCTTGTGAGAAAAAAAAAAAAGTAAAATATCTTCTAATACACAAAAATATCAAAATAAAAATAGAATAAACTGTTTGACCAGAGAAATAGCCTTTGATGATCTAACATCACTCACAAGGGAGAGAGGGTCAGTTTAATGTCATAACCAAGACAGCCGGTTTCCCGAGATAAGACATATATATATATATATATATATATATATATATATATATATATATATATATATATATATATATAAG